AAAAATAAAAACCTAATTGCAGGCAATATTGATATTTTAAATAAATTTATAAATAATTTTAAAAGGAATAATTATTAAATTATTATTCGATTATTTCTCTAATGTTTAAAATATTTATGCATACATATAATAAAATAAAAAAATGAAATAGCTTTTATTGACCACTAAAGCTTCTAAATCATATGATTATATTTTATATGGTTTTATAAAACTTTTTGATAATTTTACTATTCATGTTCAAGGCTTTACTAACTAAGAGAAATAGTATTTACTTTATTTAAAATATTTTATTTACATATTGCTAATTAATAAATCATGTATTCATTTAGTGAATTAAATACTGGTTTTACAATACTCATACTAATATTGTAAACCAGCTAATAACTTTTTCAACTCGATTAGAATGCACAATAGATATCCTTAAATAGTAAATGGTATCCAGTTGATTAATATATTGGAACACTTTTTAAATATAGTCCTTTGTGTGATATATCTCATATAGGGGCTGTCCAAAGAAACTAAACTAATTCTTATTTATTATATTTAGGATATGAAAGACTCTCAGAAACGTTACTTTTCATTCATTATGTTAAATTTCATCCTGAAGAGAGGAAAATTATACATATTGTTAAATTAAACTTGAAAAGCGAGATTATGGAGGAAGAGTTTGAATTTGATTTTAATGATTATGAAGGTAAATGGTACATGCAATACATGTATTATGATATAATTTAGAGAAAAATTATATTAGGGTTCATGTCGAAAGAATAGAAAATAGAAAGAAGTTTAAGTTCTTCAAGTTTTTTTGACCAAGAGTTCAAATTCATCCTTGGCGGAAGTTTATAGGTAAATTTTTTTATTATTTTAAGAGTTTTGAAAACAGCTTTAAATAGGAATATCAATTGAGCAGTTTTCCTGGAAAAATGAAATTAATATTTTTAGAATAGAACGACAGAAAAGAATTTTATATTACCAATTTGAAAGCTTGCGAATCAAATTTTGAAGCTATAATAAATGAATTTTATGATTTTAAGTCATAATTCTTACAAATACAAGTTGATTAAGAATAGGAAAATCAATATTTAATATAATTTTGGGTTCAACTTGATGATGTTATGAGAGAAATTTAAACAATTTAAATAATTAGAATGTATGTTAAGTACCAATTAAATAAAGAAAAATAAATAGAGTTGACAAGTTTTTAGATAAGTTATTTAAGCGACAATTAAAAATGGTATTATTGTCTTTAATTCTATTCCTATAACTATCCTTTCATTTTTTCAACAGATTAAATTTAGGATTTTTCGAAGATACATAAATATGAAATTGAAAGTGAATTTCTTACTTCTTGGCATTTTATTTAGGTTAGCTACTAAAATAAGTAAATCAATTATGTAATGAAAAACTTCTTATTAAATAAATAATAGATCAATTAATTTGAAAAAGTAAATTAGTTTTCATGTTAAAGATTTACAGTTACTTTAGGATAAAATGATAGCGATCATTTACTGAATGGCCAAATATAAAATCTAAAATATCTAAATTGTCCTTCCATTAATACTTCATTTGACCATTGTCATCATTCTTGTTAAACTTGTTTTGGCCCAAATAGTAATCACTGCTGGTCATGCGATGAAACAAAAAATAGACTATTCAATCCACAAACCAATACTTGTAGATGCAAACTATGGTACTTAGATCTAGATGAAGTTTAATGTCATGGATAATCTGAATTTAATTTTATAGAAACTGAAATCTAATTACCATAAGATAATAAGTATGATGAGATTGAACCAATAGTATAATGTGCTTTTGGGTACTTTCGATATTTGGATCAATGCATATAGTGGTATTATTTATTTAATAATAAGTCCATCTGCATCATAAAAGGGATCTATATAATGCATCAATTGTCTACTATTTCCTAATACATGGGTTTATAGTGGCAAGTGTTTTGAATAATATCAATAATTAGATAGGAATGAATAAAATACTTATCGATATATTTCTGATATTATATCACCAGAATCGAATTTTTATTTACTGATTGATGAGGAATTATTTGCTTGCGAAGATTGTGAATTTTGTTCAAAGGAAGAATATTTGGAAGAATAAGGTACTGGAATTACCTATTGTATATTATATCCGTTAAAACATATGAACCAAGATACATATATATTATGTTTAACCGGAAATTTAGACTATGAAACTTTTAAATGTTATTCGAAGAGACCTGTTAAATTAAATTATGGATCTTACAGAGGTACATGTAATGAATTTTGCGGTTACTGTGCCTTAAGAACTTGTTAATACTGCAAAGATTCATCTCTTTACTTTAGTGATTGGTAAGGAATATGTAGAGTATGTAATATAGAACACTGTAAGTATTGTTTTTCATACAATTAATATGATTTGAATTAAGTATCTGCAAGAAAATCTCCTTTAACTAAACTATAATCTAATTTAGAAGAAGATTATATAATAGGATGTTCACTTTGTAATTCAGGGTATATATTTGATTTTACTATAAATTAATGTATAAAGAAGAATTTATAGTATCCATGTTTAAATGCTTTTATTAAATAAGATAATGAATTAATTTGTACTAGTTCATCATTAAAAGCTCGAATAATTGAAGAAGCTTAGGAAACAATTGGTTGTTCAACATTTTTCTAATATTGTGTTAGATGTGTTTCTGATAATTTTAAGATGGTTTAATGTACAAAATGTCAAGATGGGTACTATCTCAATTTTTTGAATGGTATTTGCATGCCATGTTCTAATATTATTGAACATTCAACAAAATGCTAAATGCTGACTTCTTCTTATGATGCTTGGAAGTATGAAGTTATGAGTTTCTACAATAACTTTTTGCCTGATAAAGTTCCAATTTTGGTAGCAGGATATTATTTTATAGTATATTATATTGTAGATGAATGTTAATAGGGTTATATTAATGATTATAATGAATGTAAAATTGCTAATGATAAATACTGTTTAAATTGGCTTATTGATAATAATGGAGTTGTTTGTAAGACATGCAAATCTTAATCAAATTATTATCGATCATCATCATTTTTCAATAAAAAATGTCAAATGTGCCCATATCCTTGTAGTATTTGTTAAGAAAGAACACAAGAAGAGATAAATTTGATAAATCCTTATTTTATTGTTAATGAACATACAATAAATTAAACATATTATTGTATTAAGAATTTTGACAATTAGCAAACTTATATACATTAAAAGTTAGGTTTGATTTAACCCTTAAATTCAAATGGAACAAGATATGTAAATTAAATTATAAAGAATTTTAAATAAAAGTAAGTCAAAACATCTCAAGCCTTTACATAATTGGAGATGTAATATTTTATTTAAAGAAATATTTATACATACTAAGCTCATTATTCATATTTAACTGATGAACCATTTATTAATCTTAGAAATTATATCTTTTCTTTATAAAATTAAATTCTTCATTATGATGGATAAAATGATATTTATCATGAAAAAATGATTAAAATATTTAATTAATCTAAAGTAGTTATTGACAACCTTAATTTGTTTAATGAAAAAAATATTTTGAATATTACCTCATAGTATGGTGTTGAAGTGTTTATTAAAAATTTATCTCTTATATCACTTAAAAGTTAAAGATCTTTAATTGAACTTACTAGTATTACTAATTTAACTATATCTTAAATTGAAATTAATGATTTAATCATTTAATAATAGCCTTTCATTTTCATTAACAATTTATATCAATAAAATTTCAAGAATACAAACCTTATATTTTATGATATTACTTTATTAAATTGCAAATTTATAAATAGCGGGTTTCTACTTATAAGTAACTATCAAAGTTATATTGATAAATTTGTGATCCGCAATTTAAGAATTATCAATTGTACTTTTGAAAATTCTTCCTTATTTACCTTCTCCTAAAAATCCAATTTCAATAAAATTCTAATTATTAACATACAAATATGCCAATCCAAATTTATCAAGTCAGAATTTCTTATAATGCCAATCAGCAAGTTTATTTATATAAATTAAATTACATTCGAGAATTCTAACTTTACTTAAGGAATTTTTATATAATCCACTTCATCTACCATATTTTCAGGGCTAACCTTTTAAAATGTGAATTTATTCAATAGTACACTTGTTTTTCTTAGAGGATATCTAAATGAAACAAATTTTGATCATTTATTATAAAAAATACAAATTAAAAAAATTGAATTCTAAGGGTAAAGTCCATTTAAAATTATATATCGAAGTGATTATAACGGTTAAATAACTATTGAAGATTTAATCTTAGAATAAGGAAATATTATTTAAGAAGATAGTTAATTTAATTTACATACATCAAGTTGTTTTTTTGATTTTTAAAGCTTATATATATAAATCACAAACTTTAGAGGAGTAAATAATCTAAATTTTCAATTATTTTGCTTGATAAACTTTAACAATATTATTGTAAGGAATTGTGTAATCCAATAGACATAATAAAATATACTGAATTAAGAATCTAATAAACTCTTAACTAATAAAGGATTTTTATTTATAAAGGATTTCATTATAATAAATTTATAAAATATTCAGATTAACAACTTATATATGGTTGATTCATCTTTAATTTATATATTATCCAAATACGATGCTACATTAAATTAAAGTATTATAGTAAACGATTTTAATGTCACCAATAATTTACTTATAAAAACATAATTATCAACTGTTCCATCTCTTTTGTACATTTAATCAGAATATTATTGCAATGTTTAATTAACTAAGATCAATTATGAGAATAATATTATCACATATTAGATTGAGGATTCTTAAACTATTGCTCCTTCTCTAATTTTTATTTATGTAAAATAAAGTTAAATATCTTTAAAATCAGGTAAATTTAAAAAAAATTAAATTATTAATTCAAGAAATTCTCATATTTATTTGAACTCTGAAACAATAACATTTCAATCTTTAGTTGTATCTGATATAAATACAGTTGATTAAGATTTCTCAAATATATAAATCTCTTCAAAAGGAGGATTAGGGTAGGTAATAGGTTAATATATTTTAATTATTGATGTGATCTTTACAAATATGATGGCTCATTAAGGAGGCTGTTTACTAATGGTTTTACTTGAAAAAAGTAGAGTGTTAATTGAGAATGTTATTATTTAAAATTCTATAAGTTGGAATAATATGAGCATTAATTCTTTTGGTGGAAGTTTTTATATTGATGCAACAAATTCAGAGTTGGATCTGTAATTAAAAAATATATCTGTAACGCTATCAATTAGTAAAGATTGTGGGGGATTTATATATTTTATTCCTTCATAAATATCTAATAAAATAAAAATTATTGATTCAAACTTTATCAATACATTTTCATAAGAAAAAAGCTTGATTTCTTACCTTTGTGATTTCTTCTTAAGTAATAACACATTTGAGTTTAAAAATAATACTATAAAAATTGAAGAACATTTTTATGATGATTTTTTAGTAATGAACTTTTAGATTCCTAAATCAACTGATAGTGGAATGATTGTTGTCTCCAATAGGTAAACTTAATTAATTATTTAAAAGCAAGATAAAAATTGATTCTGTGTCAATTACAGGTTCTTACTCAGTGACTATATTTAGTTTAACCTTTATCCATCATCTTAGTATAACAAATGTAAAAATATATAAGGCCAAATAGTTTGGTTCTCCTTTTATATATATTAGCAATGAATAACAATATTAATTAGATAGAAAGATTTAAAGCTAATTATTCTTAAGCTCAATAAATATAAATAATTGTTAAAATATGAATTAATAAATGTAAGGCTCATTTTTGGATATTATTCTTATTGCCTAAATAACATCAAAAATCAAATTGGAGAATTTCTAAATTATTCAAAATAATTGTTCTAATTGTTAAAAAGGTGTAATTAATATTAAATTTACAGAATATACTAAATCAATTAATATTGATTAATTATTATTCTATTAAAATAATTGTGGTTTTTATTCATGTCTATCTGCCACTCCTATAAGAACTTATAAGAGAACATAAATAAAAGTAGATAATGCACTATTTATTTCAAATAATGGGTCTATGAATGGAACACTTAATTTATAGGCATCTTAATTAAATTTATAACACATTAAATTTATTAATAATACAGCTTCTAAAGGTGGAGGATATTATTCCCAATATTATTAAGAACTTTAAACAAAAGACATTTATTTCATTGAAAATAAGGCAGACATTGGAGGTGCCATTTATTTAAACAGCACAAAATTATAATCTTCAAGTTTTTCATAAATATAATTTCTTGGCAATAAAGGAAAACTTGCAATAGATAATCTTTAAGAATTACCGATTTATATTATGTTATCAATTTTCTAAACAGATATTGAAACTATAACTGTAGGAGGGTAAGATCAACCAAATCTTAAAAAGTTTCTAAATGAGAGCTTTATCTATTTACCAAGCGGTTAAAAAATAGGATAATATCAATTATTTTCAAAAAAACTAAATAATTATCAAAATTATAATATCCAATTAAAATTTTATTTAGTGAATAATTTAGAGGAAAGAATATTATAATTTGATAATGAAACCAAAAGTTGTATAGTAAAATAAAAATAATTTATTGGAGAATAATAACAAACTGTTAAATATAATGATTTAATAGTAGATTTTGATTAGGAAGATCAATCATTCATTTTTGAAAACTTAACTATTATATTTGATCCTTATTCCTTGTAAGATAGTTATTTAAATTTATAAATGATTTGCCAAATTTAATCTAATAATGTTATAGAATATTAATTAAATGTTAAGACATTTCCATGTTAAGTTGGAGAATATTATTATGAATCTTAATGTTTATTATGTGAGTCTAGTAAAGGATATTACTCACTTTAACCAAAAGCATTTTATTGTTTAAAAATAGACCCAAAAATGATTTAAAAAAATACAAAAAATTAAATTGAATTATATCCAAGTTACTGGAGACCTTTTTCAAAAAGTTCTCTTATATCAATTTGTATCAGAAAGCCAGAAACTTGTTTAGGAGGTTGGGAAACTGGAGATGATTCATGTTAAGTAGGATCTATAGGAGGTTTGTGTGAAGAATGCGATATATATAATATAAGGGGATTTGGTTAATATTATCAAAACAATAATTTTAAATGCTAATATTGTTCGAATTTTATTGGGAAAACAGCTATTTCCATATTAATAACAATTTTGTAATTTTTATATCTTAATCTTTAGAACATTATTATCGACCTATTTAACTGTTAACAGTGCTTAATTGATCTTTATAAATTTTAAACGACTGAAATATACAACAGTTCATTATAAAATTATATTTAGATAAGGATAAGGTATTATATAATAATATATTATAGATCAATCTGCTGCCTTAATAAAAATGATAGTAAATTATTTTTAAATTTTGATTGGAATAAAATCATTTTAAATTGAGATGTATTCAAACATTATTGATTTTTTGAATCCTTTTAGTAATCCCGTTGGTAGTTCTCTTTATTCATATGATTGTTTTTATAGCTAATAATCAAATGTACCAGTTATCTACATAAATTTAATAATTAATTTATTAGTACCAATTTTTTATTACTTACTTTTTATTACAATCTATTTGATTGTAATATTATTTAAAAAAGCTAAATTATCCATCACAATATATTTTACTGCAATACTCTATTTATTATTTTATACCTAACCTTAAATAATAAATGAATTAGGCAGTTTAGCAGCTTAAAGAAAGATTTCAGGAATTGCTTATATTAATAAAAATGTTTAATATTTGTATTCCACCTAAACTCACAATAATTGGATGGCATTTTGTATCATTCCATTGTTGATATTTGAAGGAGTTATTCTTCCACTTGTTATTCTATTTAAATTAATAAAAATTAGAAAATAATTTAATTCAGATAGATTTCGAAAGATTTGGGGATATATTTTTAATGATTATTAAGAGTCAAGTTATTATTGGGAAATATTTAGAATATTTTAAAGATAAATAATTATATTAACTTTGAACTTTAATGAAGAATAAATAATAACTAAAGGATGTATAATGTTTGTAATTCTATTATTTTATTTTTCTGCTGTTCTAATTTACAAACCATATAATGTTAAATCTTTAAATGGATTTGAATTAGATAGTATTTGTTTGTGTGAAATTATAATAGTAATTAGTTGCTTAAAATATTAAACTTAATTTAATTAGATTTAAACAATAGATACGTTATTGGAAATAATTTTTCTAATTTTTTTTATATATTTAGTATTAAAAGTAAGTATTAAACTACTTACAATATACTATTATAAATATAATGAAAGATTTGATAATATTAAACGTTTTTTATAATATTAATTCCCTAGTTTCACATAAAAAAAGTCAATTATATCAAGATTTTTGAATAGCAGAAAAAATGAAAGAAATAAAATATAATAGAGATTTTTATCAGCATATGCTAATTTAAAACTTTTGAAAAACAATTCTAGCAAGCTTTCACTATCGAACAACTAAATTAAATAGAGCATCATATAAAATGATCATACAATTTAACTTTCGTTATAATTTACTAATAATAATGATAAAAATGAAAATGGATTTGTAAAAACTAATGAATATTCATAATGCCAAGATATAGTTTTATGATAATTTAAATCAAAATAATGATATTAAATTTATAAATTTTAGTTCTAATAAATATTTAACTCAATCATTAATTTCTGTTTTAATTCTCCTTTAATGTTAAATAGTTTTAAAGATAGTAGGTTTCAATTTAACATTAAATTTTTATGGAATTTATTTTTATTCTTCATTCGGAATCAATTTTATGATAATACTTTTGATTAAATTAATTGATTTAATTTAATCTGATTTTCTCATATTTATTGAATCTTATTCTGAAATTGTTGCTTCAAAAAATTATAATACAGCTTCCATCATATATTTTAAATGATTTAGTGTATCAAACAACTTTGTTTTTGTTTGAAGATATTACTACATACTAACTTTTGATTGCATAATCTCTGCAAATTGAGATTAATCTGCCTTTGTTTCTAAAACAAATGACATTTTTTCATAATTTTAACACATCTTATCATATTTTTATAAGTTGCATTACAATATTGTATCCAATGTTTCTAACACATTCTTTTTAATATTCTGTTCTAATATTTCTATTTATTACAAAAATTGATCTTAAATAAGTTAATGAGTATTGTTAGTAATCATATCTTATTAGTATATAATTTGAGCAATTTTTTAATTGCAATCTTGGATCTAAGATTGCAATTTAATATTATTTTGTTATTATATTTCAATATCCATTTTATTAGCTTTGCCAAGACATTAATAATCAATTTAACTAATAAGTAATTTAACTTATTTTAGTTATTTATCCAATTTATCTTATGCCAATTTTTATACATTAATCTCATCTTATATTGGCTTTAAAATCAAATTGATATCTGAATGACTGACAGTATTTTCAATTTATTCTGCTAAAACTGCAATATCTAATTAATCTTACTATTAATTGAGCTCTAATTATATATTGAGTTTACTTACATTAAATAAGTATTTCTTAAATTTGTTCATCCACAATACTATATTTAATCAACTGAAGAATAACATTTTTAATATTTTGCATTAATTAATTTTATGGATCAAAACTTAGATTAATAGGATAGAGATTGGACAGATTTAAGAGGTAATTTATAACATGACATAAATGATAAATGTAAAGAAATTGAACCTAAAGTTTACACTCATTAATATAAGTTCATTCAATATTGGATGTTAATTAACAATTCCCTATTATTGAATTACACAGAAAATAGTAAAACCCTTAATTTTAAATCTCTCAAATATTAATCATCTTTAGATATGCCTGAGAAGATATTTGATATGAAATAAATGAATAAAATAAAAAGATAATTAAAAAATGTGATTAGCTTGATATTTCCTTATACAATATTTAAAGGAGTACAATCTACTGTATTTGATATAACATGAAGGAAACTTTCAAAAATATTTACCTGATAAACTTAAGGAGTAGAATTTGAAATTCTAAACATTTTTTGCATTTACGAAGCATAATATATGAGATAAGGTAAATATGTTTATGTAATTCTAATATATGAAAGAATATAAATTAAAAGAAGCTAATTTTTAAGTATATCTCTGTCGCACTAGCAAAATTTCAATTGGTTTAAAGAACCTATATATAAATGTTTCTAATTTAGGATAATTGATTATGAGAAAGCAGAATAATTGTTAGATAAAAACGAATAAAATTAATCAAGAATTGATACAACAAAATTAATTTCTTTCATCTTAGGTTAGATTAATAGTTAAAGTTAACTAATAGTTTTAGTTAGAACTAGTTTATATTCTACAGAAATTGAAATACTTGTTAAAGAATGTATTTAGAAAAATATTGATAATAATAAGAAAGTAGATTCAAGATTCATATGAAAGGACAATGGTATAGTAATACAATAAATATTTATAGAAACTATTTATATTATTTAAGTTTTTTTTAATGAAAATCAAAAAAAAGATTATTTTTCTTAGGTTTTTAAAGAAAATAATATGTCATTTAAAGGTAATTTCACATTTACAATAATAAATATCTCCATATACTATTATTCATATGTATAATGAAGATAAGAGGTATTTTGTAAATTCAATGAAGCCTAAATTATGATCTTTTTTAACGAAAATACATTAGTGAATGATTTACTTACATTATGAATGAAAAAAACTTAAATTATTGGATTGGAGAATGTAAAGGAAATAAAATTTAAGAGATAGAAAAAAAGAAAATTTTACTTTTGTACTAATGATTAATTATATAAGACCTCTATTTTTAGATATTTTTAACATTCAGTTAGATCAGGTAGAGCAAAGAATGAAGGTGTTAACATTCAATAAAAATAATTCTAAAATTTAGAAGTATGACCAAAAGTAATTTCTGCACAGATTTAGCAAAATATTAAATTTTAAAAAAGAGTGATAAAATTTATTATAATTAAAATGTCAAATTTATCTCACAGTAGCTAGTCATCAAGAAGTTCATCTTAAAAGAGAAATAATAAAAGACCTTAAAGAGAAAAGAAGAAGAAAAACAATTCAGAAGACTTTGATAGTCCAATTGATGATGATGACTTATCATAATATGATGGTAAAATGTATTTGTATTTTAGGGATGAGAATGAAGAATAAATAACAACCCATTTTAGGACCCAATAGATTCAACAAAAGAGAAGCAAAACTAAGAAAACCCATCTCAACTTAAACTCCAGCAACAGCAACATTTTTATATAAACCTGGCTCTGAATTACCAAATCTATCAAACTATATTAATTCAATTATTGATATTAAAATAGCCTGTGAATATGTTAATAAAAATAATCCTGCACTTATATTACGTCAAATATGGGGTTCTAATGGAGCTTATGCAAGTCATAGTGATGCAGTTTGTATTGGCATCCATGCTGGATTATTAGCTTTAGGAGACTTGAAATTAACTAGTGCTTTTTATTAGGGAGTTAGTTTATCTTGTAAAGTTATTAAAGGAAAAAAATCATTAAATGGATAAATGAAAGTGCCTTTGTTATCTAGATCTTTGAAGACTCCTTGCGCTCATTGTTTAAAGCCAGAAAAAGTTACTTGGTTACCTTAATTAGGTTCTCCAGAATAATTGATTAGTTGGGCTAAGAAAATGTCTTTGCCTTAAAATAGAAGATTAACTAAGAGAAGTCATTCAAGTGTATATTTACATGAACCTCCTTAAATTTCTTATCCAGAAAATTTATTAGTTAATAATTTACCTCCATTAAATGAGGGTTGGATTGTATGGGATATGTGTAATGAACCAAGTTAAAAATATAATTTACTTACTTTTATGGATAGATAAACAATTCAAGGATTACCTAATAGAACTTCATTTAAATTAAAAACCCATTGTTTATATATTGAAACACATAATAAAAAGTAATTTAATTCATTTTATGAAGATTTGAAATTTCTATGGATCCTTCAAAAATTACAGAAGAAGTATTTCTAGATTCTAATGTATTCACAATATAAGAGGTGTTATATCCTTAATAATCAGATATTGAAATGCTATAAAAATTTGGTGTATGTTCATATTTTTATTATAAGGTACCTTTGCCAAAAGAATAGAAGAATGTAATTTTTGAGAAATTAAAATGGGAGAATTTCGAATGGGGAAATGAAAATGTGATTATTAATGGGTCTTTCGAAATACAAGGTTTAAAAAGCTTTAAGTTTGTGCCTATAACCAAGCATTAACATTACGAAAAATGAAAATAATCAAAATTAACAATTTAATATAAAAATGGGTTTAATTATCACTGAGACTATTCAGCAAGTATTCATTGAAATTATTCAACTAATTATTTAATCTCTTTAATCGACCCATTAGACAACATATCTATCATTAATTTATTATCCTCTTCCGTTAATTTGATTTATTATATCAACATTTATTTAATCTGCTATTATAATTATTCTTCCTTTTTCTATAATCATATAAATTTTTTGTTTTCTTTTTATTTGTCAATTTATCCAATTTTTCCTTATATTATTTTAAGTAGTTATTATTATTTATTTAATTTAATTCATTAAATATTATAATCCTTCACAGATTGTTTTTTATTAAAATAACATACTAAATCATTTAAACATTTTGAATAGATAAGTATGAATAACGAAATTATAAATATTTAATTTTTTAAAATGAATGTTAATTTAATATGTCCTTAACATAAATAACATGTAACATAAGCTTGTCTTGATTTAGAATGCTAAGTATTCCCTTTTATGTGTTAAATATGTATGAGTGATTAGCAAACTATTTCACAACATACCAAACATAATCAATTCCTAATCCCTTATCCATAATACATTACGTAGATGAGTAAGAGCATATAAAACAATATTAATGAAGCTCAATTATTTAATGATCTCTTTTAACAAGAATCTTAAGTCTTATAACAATTATTATCATCTGATGAGCATCTCAGTAATATTGAAGCATATATATAATCATTAAAGCATCAAATTGATTCTGATATCAAACTAGCATTAAATTAATTCATCAAGATATTTGATATGTAGAAAGTGGAGTTATTTGACAAATTAGATTCTTATCTTAAAATCTACAAAAGTAACTTTTTCATTCTTAAAGAACAAATTGAACCCATACATTTTCTATTGACTAAATGTAAATATTATATTAATGAGAATAACCTTAAAGTAACTTATGTATAATATCTAGTAAAAATTACATACTAAGCCAGATTTAGGATCGTAAGTCAAGATTTCAATCAAATAACTCTAATAAAAATAACCATAAATGTTAAAATTAAACTTTGAGATATTCAGAAAATCATAAGAAATGAAACCTAATACTTCTAGTTTAAATCAATTATTAAATGAAACCTAAAATTCTATCACTGAATATTTTAATAAAAATCTATCTATTCCAACATCAACTCTTTTAGAAATCCCACCATCATATAATAATTAGACTCTTACACCTATCAAAAGTAAATCTTTAGAATTGTCATATTTTGATAAACAAGTACCAATTGATAATAATAAAACTACAATTAAATCTATTGACTTTAAAGTACCCATACAATCTATTTCTGTTATACCAAAATTTAATCTATAAATATTAGATTAAAGAATCTTATAAGAATAAAACTTAACAAAAGTAATTTGAAAATTAAATATTTAGAATCATCTAAGTGCTAAATTCAGAATAAAGAAAAAGTTGAGTATTGAATTCCTTGTTTAAACAATGGCCTTAGTTAATTATTCTTATGTAGCTCTTGGATTAGTAGATGGAACAGTAAAATTGTTAGATATGAATACTAGTAAAGTTAGCTATTATCCTAATACTTACATAAAACACTTAAAACCTATCAATTAATTGGTTGTACTAAAGTAAGATAAGGGAATTAGATTAGCATCATTGAGCGATGAAAATTATGCAATAATTTGGACTTTAGGTGAAAATTATGTACCTTATCCTGAAAAAAAATTGGTTGGTTTTAAGTAAAATTTAAATCATATAATGGATTTGGCTGACTCAGCTCATTTAATTTGTTAAAGTGATAATAATTTATATATAATAAATTATCATGATAATAGAATACTTCATGAGTTTGAATTTAAAAGTTAATTAGTAGAGTTTCTATATTTAAGCAAATATGAGAAATTCGCTACTATTTCATAAGGAAATATTGTGTCAATATATAGTTTAACATTAAGTAGTAGTATATAAAATGTTACTTAATTGGTTAATTGTGAATTATAATCAATTTAACCAGCTATTCCTATTTCTAACATTAGTACATGTATTGGAGTTGATTTTCAAAATGAGATAATTATATGTTATGGATGTTGGAATGGGTAAGTAAAATTGTATAATGTTTTTAAGAACAGTTTAATTGGAGAATATTAAGTATTTTAGATTATAAATATAATAGGTATTTAATAATAGGATCAAAGAAATGATTGTTTTAAAATAAGAGAATTAATTTGTTTTGGTAGTTATTGCTGAAAATTAAAAATAAATAAAAGGGATTTTGTTTTAAAAAAATAAAGTACTTTAATTAGACAAATATGGAGAATTACTTGATTGTCCTAGTAAGAATGGAAAGAATATAATCTAGTCAACAGTTATAAAAAATAAAAATGGAATCTACTTACTAAGTGAAACATAGAAAGATATTGGTTTATATGAATTATGCTGAAAATAATAATAATATAAAAATAATAATGCAAACTTAACATTTAGAAGAAATAGGAGTGAAAGATCCAATCAAGATAGGAGAAGGCTCATTTGGATAAGTATATAAAGGGAATTATAATGGATAGGAAGTGGCAGTTAAAGTAAAGATTATATAGAGATAGTACCAGATAATTCAAAATTCATTTCTTTCTGAGATATCAATCCTAGGAAAAATAGATCATCCTAACATAATAAGATTACTAAAGGTAAAATAGTACTGAAATTAGGAATTCAAATTTGGGAACATGTCTTATTTAGTTATGGAGTATTGTTCAGGAGGAACACTCAAAGATTACATTTAAAAGAAGTTAACAGAAGACGAAATAATAGGAATTATGAGATCTTTATTATCAGCTGTAGAGTATTTGCATGCTTAAGGAATTATTCATAGAGACATCAAACCTGGTATCTAATTATGGATATTAATAAATAGATAATATTTTAATCAAAAATAAAAATGACTTATCTTCTATTAAATTAGCTGATTTTGGATTGAGTTTCTAATATGATGCTGAAATACAGTATTATTAAACAGTATCTCATTAATGTGGAACCTTCATTTACATGGCACCAGAATAAATACTTAATATGTCATATAACAAAACTGTAGATACTTGGTCTTGTGGGATTGTTCTTTATATGCTCTTACAAAAGAAACATCCTTATTATCCTAAATTTTCTACAAAGAATTAATTTATATAGAGTTTTCCAAATATTTAATATGATGAACCCAATAATGCGTCATCATTAACAAGAGATTTCTTGAGGCGTCTATTATGCTATGATCCTCATCGTCGTTATACAGCCTTATAAGCACTTTCACATCCATGGATCACACGACGTCATTAAGATAGTATTCCTATGGGTTTAAGAGAATTTGGTATTTGTAAACAATTACAAGAGAAGATGATATAGTAAATTAAAATGATTATGTTCTTCTAATACTTAATAAAGAATAGTGAATTAAATGAACATCGCAATCGATCAGAAAGCCATTAAGAAAGTTAAACCTATTCTGAAACTTCTATACATAAATAGATATAAAATAAAACTAAACTCTTAAGACCTTTGGTTTTAAAGAGTCAAACTAAATTTGAATAGAAATAAGATGAAATCAAAGGAAAAATTAGATTCTCTTAATTAACAGCATTGTTAACTTAATAAAAAAGTGAAGAATAATTTTAATATTAATAACAGATACAATAATAAATAATAAATAAAATATCTTCATAACCAGCATTGGATTCTCCTAAAAAGAAATATCATGAAAAACATAAATTTAGTGTTGATTGTGGAAATGATCTTTAGATGATTTAGTTGGTATCATCAGTCTCTCCTATGAAAGGTGATTCAGAACATAGTAAAATTGAATCACCAAAAAAATCATTTAGAAAATCTTAATCTTTTTAAAGATTGATACTGCCTCAACTTTCAGAATCTACATAAAGTTCTATAAGTCCTGATAAACTAGTAAAGAAAGAATCAAAAACCCTTGTAATGAGAAAATCCTAATCCACTTTATAGATATGTTTAAGAAAGATTCAATAAGCTAATGAATTATCTGAACAAAAGACAACAATCAGATAGAGGATGGAAACTTATGATTAAAAAAATTATAGCCATCGAATTATGTAAAAAGCCAACTCTTTAAATTCATCTACGATATCTCCAAAAAATAAACTTATCCAATAAATTATTTAGTAGCAATAACAACTTATTCTTCCATAATATAGAAAAAGATTATGATAAAAATTGATTATAATTATTATGAATATAAATTAGATAATTATATATACTCTAATCATAACACACTCATATTGTTAAATTTACTCAGATGAATACCTATATAATTGCACAACTATTTATAAAGAAAAAGATAAAGAGTAAAAACTAAAATTATACCCTATAGAATGTTGGATTTTCATTATATTTTGTAATAAACGAATATATAATCAAAGTATATCAATTCTTAAAAAATACAAAACTATTTGGAGTTCCTGGAGACTGTGTTTTTATTATTACTATAACTAATGGGATTGAAAGTGTTGTCTAGTTTTTAACAGCCATTTATATTTTAACATATAATAAAGCTCCATCATAGAATGCATTTTGCGAGGTAAATGAAAAAATAATATAGATTACAGGATTAGCTACTTCAATTGTTTTTGTGATTTTAAATCTTAATATATTTGTTTATGCTGCTTATCCTTTGGCTTTAATTTACAATGCACTTGAATCAACTGCTAAAAATTTAAGAATTTTCAATTATTCACTTCTTACAATAATTATCTTGATTGTTATAATAGGGAATATTTTACAGAATCAAATAGTGTCCACTACATTAAATGGGTACAATAAATTATATATTAGAATATGTGCAATATCGGCAACAGATGATGTAAGATGGGATATTATAATCTCTATCACCTGCTTATTTGTTTTCGTTTTGTTTGCAACCATGTCTGTTATTTAAGTTATAACATTTAAAAAATTGATTCCTAAGTTCTCTACAATGAGACAAGCTAGAGGCTAATATCTAAGATATTACTAAAGATTGATAGGTTTTAGTCTAATTATGAAATTATTACTTGGAATCTTTAGTGCAATAAATTTGTTGAATTGTTACATATTTCTTAAAGCATGGTTAGAAGTTTCAGGAACCTTACAAAATATTACTCAATCGCTTTGTATACTTGGATAGACTATTATAATTTTCAATTGATTCATCACTCAATTTATTGTCTAGTCATTCTTAAACAACTGATAACAGCTAATTATGGATTGATGAATCAATTTACAAAAGTATTATTTATCATTTATTTTTAGAACTAAATCAATCTCTTAGTAGTGATTCGATATTTTTAGAAAAAGAAAAATTGATTGATTACACACACTTCTTTTAATGATTATTTATTGGAATGAAAAAGAAGAAGAATTATAAAAGTATTTAGATGGTCAAAAGTGAACATTATTCCATCTATCAAAGAAATATTACTTAATTTAATTTAGATATATTATCATCTTGCCATAATTGATTACCTACAACAATGGAATATCAATAAATCATTAGAAAGAAAAACAAAAAAGATTATCACTATGAATATGTAACTTGATACTTCAGCATAAGAACCAGGTATCTATGGAAAACGATTTAAAGATAAATTAATTAATAGAATAGTGCCTTTAAATTGTTTTTAATATAAAAAAATATGTATGTTTAATTATATATCTATATAAGATTTTTAAATACATATCTTTAAAGTTTATAAAAATTAAGAATTTTATTCTATACTTTCTTAAATGATTGAATAATTTTATTTATATAAAATGTAATAAATTATTTACGAAATTTTATTAAATTTTAGAATCAATAAAAAAAGTATATTTATTTAATTTCAGTTATTTCATCTGTTGATGATAATTCTCCATCAGATTCTTATGTATCAGGATGAGTATCACTAGAATCACCAATAGATTATAAAGTTTTGACTAATTGTTTCTGAACATCAGGAATTTATTCTTGTTCAGATTCTGGAATTGTAACTAAAGATGTAATCTTAAAATTATCTTCAAATTATTATAAAGACTGAGATTAATATTATGATTAATTTTTCACTCCAACAATTATTGATGTCTAAAATTAGTTTTGTTAAATACCCAATCATATTCAATATGTTTATATCCTTTAAATACACCTTTCAAATATTCATAATTTATTGGAACTTCATTTGGATCTAATTTTAAACATAATTTACTTAAAAATTTTATTCTATTAGCAAATTCTAAAAAACATATTGGATAATTTTTCAAAATTTTTTCTGGTAAAAAAGAATTTTTAAGATCAAAATAATATTTTAATTTATCTACTTTATTTCTAAATGATTTTGATTCATTAAAGAATTCACCTTTTGTTAATAATTCAATCATCATATAGAGAAGACACTCGAGATCATCTTTTGGATGTAATTCTTCTTATATAATAAACAATTACATAACCCAAGATGTTATCCTATACTTGAATATTTACAGAGTTTATATGAATTTTAGGATATTTTTTAATTAGTTTTATATTAGCTTGATTACTAAAAATTAGTGAGAAGCAAATTTTTTTAGTTATCTAAACATGTTAATAAGCTTGCCAAATTAAGGTTTTAATGTAAAAAATTTGCAGAATGTATTAATTATAATGCATCTATCTAAAAATTATTAAATTAATACGCTTTTCAAAATTATCAAAATAATGCATTCATAAGTAAAATGACATTTAAAAAAACTAAACCAAAACTTGATACTAGGTCCAGTTTTATTTAGAACCTAATATCTATATTAATTTATAAATATCCCATGATCATGTAACTTGAGAAGACAATCTTAGAAATTTGTGATTATTTTATTAATATGCTTTCCATCATCTTAAGTTTTAGTTTAAAACTAATGTAAATTGTTAAAATATTCAAGTATTTTAGTACTATTATCAGGTTTGGAGAGAATAGTCATTCTAATAACACAAGCTGATTATTTATTCAGATTGATGGCTTTTTTATTTGAAAAATACCTTCAAAGATTGTAGAACTTTTGCCTTAATAGATTACATTTAATAGCAAGTATTTATTATCAATAATAACAGGGGATTCTTTATTATTTTATTAAAAGAATGGCATTTTCTTAAAATAATGTGTTATGTTATACCCTTAAAGAATCAGATGATTTTGTATGAACCTTCTCTGTGGACACTTGAGGTTAATTGTCAATCTTATTTTTAGTATGTGTATGTATCATACAAGTTTGAATATTTTTGTATAATTAATAATTTAGCACTGATAATAGATTTGGGGGGAATAATTAATTATTTTTAGTAATTTAATAATATAATTATAAGTAAAAAATGGCAATTATAATAATTAGACAAATCATAAAGGTTTCTTTTCATATTCTTTTTTAGAGAAAATTATTAAAATCATTTGGACAATTATGATATTCGTTAAATTAGAGATCATCTTAGAATTATTGATCATTAGGATTTAAGCTTTTTAATAATATATTTTTAGATTCTGCTGCAGTAGAATTTACTGTTTTGTTTTTAGCAGATTCAAATTTACTTATTTTTTCTTATTTTATAGATTGTTCAATGGAGTTTTTTCGTGATATATTTAGAGATTTATAATAAATTGAATCGACCAAACTGTATTTTGACAAGCCATCCAAACCTTAAGAATCAAAATTCTCTCTAAAAAAATCTTAATCTAAACATTCTTTTAGAGTAAACCGTTATTTTGGTGAGATTCTTGTCATTTAAATTAAAAGATTCTTTAGAGATTGTGGAACCTTTATTTTGTCATTGAATATAAGGGTTCCAATATTAGAATTTCTAAAGGGATGTACACCATAGAATCTAAATAATAATAAAATATAAAGATACATTTCATAAATGATTATTCCTAAACTATAAACATCACATTAAGTTGTATACATTTTTTATTTTTCTTTATATTCTTATACTTCTGGTGCTGCATAACCATGAGTACCACAATTATAGAGTACATGTTCCTAATATTTTAAGTTTGTTGCAAATCCAAAATCAATAATAGCAATATCCGTACTTTTTGGATCCTTATCTTTATACATAATATTTTGAGGTTTCAAATCTCGATGCATAATTTATTAAGAGTGAACATAATTCATTGTTTCTACTATGTCTTTAACCAATTATTATTTATGAGTCAGACTAAAATTATTAAGCTTTTCATATAAATGGCCACCTTCATAATAAGTCATTATTAACTCTATGTAATCTTTTTTAATTATAATTAATAAAGATACTATCGGATTCAAACACTTCATATAATTTTGGAATATTTGGATAATCTAGACTTCTCATTATAAAAATTTCTTCTGCAAGACTTTTAGCTTGTTTATCTCTCATTTTATGTCCAAATGGTGCTTTAGCTACTTTTTTTATTGCAAATTTTTAATTTTGTTAATTGCTTCCAAGAAAGACCTAATAAAATAATTAAAATAATACACCTCACAAGTTATTCCCTCTCCTATTTTTTCATTGATTTTGTAAGAATTTATGAGCATCTATNTATAATTATAAGTAAAAAATGGCAATTATAATAATTAGACAAATCATAAAGGTTTCTTTTCATATTCTTTTTTAGAGAAAATTATTAAAATCATTTGGACAATTATGATATTCGTTAAATTAGAGATCATCTTAGAATTATTGATCATTAGGATTTAAGCTTTTTAATAATATATTTTTAGATTCTGCTGCAGTAGAATTTACTGTTTTGTTTTTAGCAGATTCAAATTTACTTATTTTTTCTTATTTTATAGATTGTTCAATGGAGTTTTTTCGTGATATATTTAGAGATTTATAATAAATTGAATCGACCAAACTGTATTTTGACAAGCCATCCAAACCTTAAGAATCAAAATTCTCTCTAAAAAAATCTTAATCTAAACATTCTTTTAGAGTAAACCGTTATTTTGGTGAGATTCTTGTCATTTAAATTAAAAGATTCTTTAGAGATTGTGGAACCTTTATTTTGTCATTGAATATAAGGGTTCCAATATTAGAATTTCTAAAGGGATGTACACCATAGAATCTAAATAATAATAAAATATAAAGATACATTTCATAAATGATTATTCCTAAACTATAAACATCACATTAAGTTGTATACATTTTTTATTTTTCTTTATATTCTTATACTTCTGGTGCTGCATAACCATGAGTACCACAATTATAGAGTACATGTTCCTAATATTTTAAGTTTGTTGCAAATCCAAAATCAATAATAGCAATATCCGTACTTTTTGGATCCTTATCTTTATACATAATATTTTGAGGTTTCAAATCTCGATGCATAATTTATTAAGAGTGAACATAATTCATTGTTTCTACTATGTCTTTAACCAATTATTATTTATGAGTCAGACTAAAATTATTAAGCTTTTCATATAAATGGCCACCTTCATAATAAGTCATTATTAACTCTATGTAATCTTTTTTAATTATAATTAATAAAGATACTATCGGATTCAAACACTTCATATAATTTTGGAATATTTGGATAATCTAGACTTCTCATTATAAAAATTTCTTCTGCAAGACTTTTAGCTTGTTTATCTCTCATTTTATGTCCAAATGGTGCTTTAGCTACTTTTTTTATTGCAAATTTTTAATTTTGTTAATTGCTTCCAAGAAAGACCTAATAAAATAATTAAAATAATACACCTCACAAGTTATTCCCTCTCCTATTTTTTCATTGATTTTGTAAGAATTTATGAGCATCTATTCTTATATGCAATTTAGTTTCAATTCATTAATAAAGTTTTCAATTTCTTCTGTTCTATTCCCAGTAAAAAGCTATAATTGAGATTGATCATGAGACAGTGTGATTACTAATAAGTTTTCTTTATTTCTAAATTAACAATATACATTTTTTAGAACTAGAAAGCCACCGATCTCACCATTCTTTAATAAATAACTAATAAAATATAAATCACTTACCTCTCGAAAATAAAATAGATGTTAATTATAAATCTTATATCTTCTTGCAGTTGTTCTCTTAAATAATTATCCTTATTTAAATAAAACTACTGTTTATTGATCTTCGGACAATTTATGAAAATCATAATTAACTAAAGACTTCAAGTTTTTGTTCCAAAAATGTTGTCTTTCAGATGATACAAAATATAAAGAGCTCTTCATTAATATTTTATAAAAAAAATCATATTCAATTTTCTTGATATCCCAACTAATAAATTAAACTAATGTACTGCCAATTACATAAAATCAAATATATTATTGATATTCTTAAGAATAATATGCTTATTCTATAAATATAATCCTTTATAATATTGATTATCCATAATCATTTCAATACCAAGTATAATTACTTATAAATTTATTAAATAATTAAAATAGTGTGAAAATATTCAAACCCTCATAGGCTGAATTAAAATAAATAGGTTTTTATTATTTATTTTTGCCCAATTAATTATTTTTACTATTCAAATACATATATTTCCAAATAATTTGCATAAATACTGCATTATCATAATATTTATTTATCATTATGTAAAATACATAATACATAATTAATCTTAACTTTAATTTATATATTATACTAAAGATGATGTTTTGATTTTCGAATAATAATAAGTATAATTAAAAAACAATAGAAGTTTGGAAATGGTTGAAGGTGTAAATAGAAGTTCATAAGGACAATTTTAAAAGTAAACTTATAACTTAAAAAAGAAAAGAAGTAAATTTCTTGGTTAAATTGAAGTCCTTTTTATTTTTTAAATAAATTATATAAATGCTTAAATACATAAGTTATAGATGAAAATAATTAAGTCTGCTAATAATAAAATCCTCAATTCATAAAATAATAAATTTTTATAAAGTATAAATAAAAACTCAAAAATATCACACAAATGTAATTATTTTTATAACTAATAAAAATTTTCTAGCTTTATTTTTACAATAATTCTTATAAATAAACTCATTAAAGACATGAATAAATACAATATATTCAAAATCAAAAGAACATCATAGAAAAAAATAATTTAGTCATTAAGTCAAAAAACATATGGATATTTTAAGTGTTATTTTCTTATAGTAAAGTTTATTTTGTTTAATCTAAAGAAATTTTCTTTTGTTTTTTTATCTTAAAAGCATAAATAAGCAAAGTTTAGTAATCTTTATGAGATTTCATTTTTTTATCATTATTCGAAATTAAGAGATTATATTTATCCATTAAAATGTAGCTAAGTTAATTCTAACATATAGAATATATTATTCATTTATTGATTACAAATAAATTATATATATAACCCAGAATCCATTTTAGAGAGTTAAATTAGAATTATCAATGATTTTTATAATTTATTTATATAATACTAAAGTTAATTTAATAATGTAAAATTGAATTAAATTTCATATAAATTATCAGGTAAATATTTATTAATATTATAAGAGTCATTAAATTCGATTAATAATACGTAGTATTCTTAACTAAACCAAAGTTATCAACTTAATTATTATAAAAGTTTAGAAACTGTTTTTAATAAAAGAATCTGAAATATTAAATGTACCATAATAAGTTTATGAATTTTATATAATATTTAATTGTTAAAATAATTGTGCAATAAAATGAATTTTAATTAGAATATTTATAATTAAACTTTTTATTTTGCTTTTTATTTATTAAAATTTATAATGGAAATTTGTGAATTATTTAAGGAAACTGTAAGATATTTTTTTATTAAAGCTTTAAGAAGAGAATGATAATAAGAGATAAGCAATGATGCTCAATGTCTGTCGAAAACTCAGTAGAATACTTCCTTTTCCTTCTGTAGTCACAATTTTATAATAAAAACCTAACATTTTAAAATATCTACTGATAGCCAGCTAATTAAATGAAAATTGTGTATTAACTATAAATATCAATAATTTTGTAGGCTTTAATGATGTTTTAAGCATTATAAGAGAGATACTACGATGAAAAGTTATTTGTGAAACTCTATTTTGAATGTGTGATAAAATGTTTAATAAATTAGGAGAGTAATTTATAAAGTATGATCTTTGCTAGTTTATAGTTAAGTTGTAATATAGAATGAGAAAAAATTAAGATTATTTTTATATGAGAATTCTAAATACTTAATTAATAAAATATAAGAGTGTTTCATGAATGAAGAAAGTGTTTGTGTAATGATAAATAACTTTTTTAAAAGTTATATAAAATACAATACAAATTTTGATATACTTAATTAATGCTTCTTATTTGCCTTAGAAAAGAGGAATACTTGGAAATTACTTAGAGAAGTAGATTAACAATTTGAAATTGATATTGAAAATTGTATTTAATTTTTGTAATTTTTGTAGAACTAATAATATTAGGTTAAGTAATGAGTTCAAAAAATCTAGATTTCTAGATATAAAATGGTCATTAATAAAATAGAAAACTCACATATTGTGGATTAAATAAAACATAGATAAAATAATAAATGCTTGAAGAATGGTTATTTTAACCAAGTGAAGTTCCATTGCTTGTAGCTAATTAACCAACCTTAGACTAAATTTCAAGTGATGTTTTTAAATCAAATAAATTACTTGAAATGTTCTTATCATTTATTTTACTTCCAGCTAAGTATTCCTAAATAGTAGAGAATGTAAGAATAAATTCATTATTAGAAATTATCTAATATTTATGTAGATTTGAAATGTCCTGATCCTCCATCTTTTAGATAATTAAATGTAAATGTTACATAAGAGAATAGACCAATCATTTAATTTAGAGCATTTCGAACAATGCAAGCATTAACTGATAATAGAAATAATTTTCTATTAACTAAAGTTAATTAAAGTTATTATCAAAGAGTATACTAAATGATTCATGAATGTCTTAAATAAGATTTAGTAGCCATAATAATATGTCCAGAAATCATTGTACAATATCTAACATTCCTACTTTATTTTGAGCCCGAGATATCTACTTTTTATTTAATATCTTATCATTTACCTTTTAGATTGATGTTATTTCTAGATATTCCTGAAATATCTCAATATTTTACATAAATAATGAGTTTTATTTAGACTCCTTATCATAAATTCAGTCATTAATAATCAAAATTGTTATGGAAGTATTTTGAATTAACCAATTTTTTCTAAGATTTATTAGATACAACTATATTTGAATAGAAAGTGATAGATAATATAATTACCTTAAAATCAACTGAATAGTTTAGACCATCAAAGATAGAAGAACTTTTATAATAACCTAACTTTTCATCTCTAGAAATTGAAAAATAAATTACTTTACCAGAACATAAAAAAGTGATTGAAGAAATTGATGACATTAATATAGATTTTGATCTTATTTTTTAATATCTTCCTAGTAAATGCTAAAAAACTACAAAGCTGTTTGAAAGAATGCTTTAATAAGCTACTAAAAAAGTAAATACAAAAACTGAATAAAGAATGACTATGACTACTTATATGCCTAAATCAATCTAAACTGTTAAAAATGGAAAAAATGAAGAAATAGATCCAATTACATTTAGTCCAA